TAGGGAATTTGGACAAAATGTTAGTGTTGTACCACAAATATAGGGAATTTGGACAAAATGTTAGTGTTGTACCACAAATATAGGGAATTTGGACAAAATGTTAGTGTTGTACCACAAATATAGGGAATTTGGACAAAATGTTAGTGTTGTACCACAAATATAGGGAATTTGGACAAAATGTTAGTGTTGTACCACAAANGTTACTGTGCACACATATGGAATTATTTGTTACTGTGCACACATATGGAATTATTTGTTACTGTGCACACATATGGAATTATTTGTTACTGTGCACACATATGGAATTATTTGTTACTGTGCACACACATGGAATTATTTGTTACTGTGCACACATTGCAACCAGTGAAGTATCCCCTTCAAAACAATGCACAATTACATCGCGAACCTCCCTTAAACATAGGAACCAGAATGATCAATTCCTTGATCGTTGGCCCAAAAAATATAGAAGAAGATGAAACATTTGTTACCGGTACTGAACTTATACTTATATAGTCAATGAGAGCTTATCTTCTGGCATTGTTCCCTCTCTTTATAAGACAGCTGTCACCAAACCATTACTTAAGAAGGCTGGTCTTGATCAAAGTAATTTAAAAAAAAAACTATTGATCTGTATCTAATTTATCATTTTCATCTAAAGTAATTGAAAAACTAATTCTAAATCAGCTATTTGCTGACTTGAACGACGACTCAGTCCTAATCAGTCGGCCTCAAGACATTTCCATAGCACTGAGATATCTGTCTTGAGAGTCAGCATTGGCCTCCTGCTTTCATTGGACAGTGGTGATGTTTCCATCTTGATCCTCTTTAGATCTCAGTGCGGCCTTTGATACGGTTGACCATCAAACACTTTTCAAAACACTTAAAAATTATTTTGGCATTTCTGGTTCAGTTTTGGCTTGATTTCCGTCCAACCTCTCCGATAGAACGTAGGCGGTCACTGTTGATGGCTGTCTCTCCGATAGAACGCAGGCGGTCACTGTTGATAGCTGTCTCTCCGATAGAACGCAGGCGGTCACTGTTGATAGCTGTCTCTCCGATAGAACGTAGGCGGTCACTGTTGATGGCTGTCTCTCCGATAGAACGCAGGCGGTCACTGTTGATAGCTGTCTCTCCGATAGAACGCAGGCGGTCACTGCTGAATTCGTGTACGGAGTGCCACAGGGGTCCGTTTTGGGTCCCGCCTTATTCTCAATGTATACCGGGCCACTTCTCCTCCTGCTCGGGAGGCATGCTGTTGAGAGCCAGCCATTCGCAGATGACATGCGGCTATACAAGCATGTCCCAATCCCTCTCTTGTCCATTCCGCTATCCACACCTTGCAAGATTCTCTGATTCCTGCCCTTCCTCCCTTACTGAACTTCTTGCTGTCTATTCACCTCCTTGAAAGCTTCGTTCCTCCGCAGACAAGCGTATTCTTTCTGCTCCCAGAACACGCACTAAAGCATATGGTGAACGATCTTTATCTCTCTGTGCCCTAAAACAATGGAATTCTCTCCCATTACACATTCGCACTCTAACGACCATCAGCCTTCAAAACTGACCCCAAGACCCATCTCTTCAGACTCATTCTCACCCCCTCTGACTGATAACGCTCGATTCTGCTGGATGCTGTCCATGGCTAGACAGGGGTAGATAGTACTTGGGTGGGTGAGGTCAAGCTTTTCACAAATTGTTGTTTTTAAATGTATACGTTTCTGTAATTGCTAATTTTATGTCAAGCGCAGTGAGCCTAGCCCTAGGCTGGGGTACTGCAGTGAGCCTAGCCCTAGGCTGGGGTACTGCAGTGAGCCTAGCCCTAGGCTGGGGTACTGCAGTGAGCCTAGCCCTAGGCTGTGGTACTGCAGTGAGCCTAGCCCTAGGCTGATGTACTGAAGTGAGCCTAGCCCTAGGCTGTGGTACTGCAGTGAGCCTAGCCCTAGGCTGTGGTACTGCAGTGAGCCTAGCCCTAGGCTGGGGTACTGCGCTATATAAAACCACCTAATAATAGTAATAATAATATCTGCTATGATTGACATGCTTTCTGGTCTTCCAAAAGGAGTCAACGAAATTCCATTTCTTGGAAGTAAACGGGAAGAGACGGGAATATACATAAAGATAAAGTAGGATAATAAGGGATTTCAAGCAAGATCACACACGTGGGAAAGTGTAAATAAGGAACTGATCACAGAGAGCAGCAGGGCACAGTCAATCACCAGATCACCCCACTACCAGAACACCAATGAAAAAGATAAACCAAACTAATTAACGCTTACTTACCACTTACCAGTGTCGAACCTGGGCACTAAATAAAGTCTCTAGAGAAAGATATTCACTTGCGACATGAGGTTCGGAACCAGGAAATAAGACAAATTGTTGGTGCCATCCCATTAAGCCAGTAGTAGGCCTCTATCGCAGTGAGCATGCTAAAATAGCATGGACACTGACTTAGCGCTATATAAGTATCAATAAGTATGTATGGCCCAATAACAAATTAATAGATTTGGCCGCCTAGTCAGAATGCCACCGGTTTCAGGACGTGAGGATGACTACGTCATTAGTGGACTGACTGTTTCAGGGCCAGAGGCTGATTACGTCATTGGTGGACTGGACTGTTTCAGGGCCAGAGGATGACTACGTCATTGGTGGACTGACTGTTTAAGGGACACACTAAAAATCCACAACATGACCCTCCAACAGTCCTCATCCTTTCTATTTCAAGGTTCCACATACCTCGTTCTACTATTTCCTTCTCATACGCCTATCCGTCAACTATACCTTCCTATTAAAGGCGGACTTAAGAAGCGTACGGGTGCTTGATGCCCAGGACACAGGGGCAGGGGTACAGAGACATAACGTATGAAGGACTACATTTACGCCCAAATTATTCAATATCTATTTAGAAGTCCATAATAATAAATATTATTTATATCTTTAATAAAGCCGTAATAATAAACATTGTTTATATCTTTAATGAAGCCTTCTATCACCTATACATCTGTGAAATACATGATTCATAATTATTTTTAAAAAGCTATAAATAAAAATAGCACCGCAATGCTTAGTAGTCACCAAGTATCGTCATACAAGAAAGGGATTTAACACTAGCAAAATTAATAGTTTGTCCATCGTTGGTCTTTTTAACTTTCCGGGCGTGTTGCGTAATTATTTTCTTATAGGCGTCGCCGATTCCTACAATATTGTTGGAGCACATAATCGTAAGCTCTGTCATGAAGCATCTTGAAAGCAAAAATATACTCAATGACTGTCAACATGGCTTCCGAGTCAATAGGTCATGTGAGACCCAGCTTCTCGAATTTGTAGAAGACTTGATGACCAATCTGGAGAACCACAAGCAGACTGACGTGCTAGTAATGGACTTCGCAAAAGCATTTGACCGGGTGAATCATAGTTTGCTTCTACACAAACTCCAGATATATGGGATTCAAGGCACCACTAAAACATGGATCTCTAGCTTCCTCAGCCACCGACGCCAAGCAGTAGTGGTATGCGGTACAAGCTCCTCCTTTGTCAATGTGAAGTCAGGGGTCCCCCATGGATCAGTCCTGGGCCCCTGTTTGTTCCTAGCATACATTAATGACCTACCGGAGAAACTGACATCACAGGCAAGACTGTTTGCAGATGACACAGCAGTGTATAGGACGATCGCCAACAGATCTGACCAGGACCAGCTACAACAGGATCTCAATCTGTTAGCTGAGTGGGAGATGAGCTGGGACATGGAATTTCACCCTGCCAAGTGCCAGACACTATCAATCTCTAGAAGTTGTACTCCTCTACACTACCAATACAAACTGCACGGCCATATTCTTGAGCAAGTTTCCTCCGTAAAGTACCTGGGTGTTACCATTCAAAGAGAGGTCCGCTGGGACGAGCATATTAACAATGTATGTAACCAAGCAAACCAAGCCTTGGGGTTCTTAAGGCGAAATCTAAAGATTGGCAACTCCTGTGTGAAAGAAAGAGCATATAAAGCCTTTATCCGTCCGATTTTAGATTATGCATCTTCAGTCTGGGACCCATTTACCCAGAAGAGCATTGACAGGTTGGAGGCGGTCCAGCGACGAGCAGCACGCTTTGTCCTAAACCGCTACAGGAATACCTCTAGTGTTGGCAGCATGCTAGAAACACTAGGCTGGTCACCATTGGAGAAACGACGACGACAATCCAGGCTCTCCATGATGTACAAGATAAATAATGGGCTGGTCCACTGTTCCAGTATTAAACAGAAACTCGTCCCTCTCCCCCATAGACAGCGACGAGGCCATGACAGGCAATTCAGGCTCATACCAGCAAGAAGCCAGTATAGGAGCTGCTCATTCCTGCCCAAGACAATCAGGGACTGGAACCATCTTTCAAAAGGAACAGTTGAGGCGACAACACTAGACACATTTGTGTCTATTGCCTCAAGCCTTCAAACCCCTAGTGCATAATTTCCTCATCACCACCAGTAACAGAAACATTGCAAATCCCATCTACATGCATAGGAGCCAAAATGATAAATAAATTGATCGTGGGCCCTTAAGATATAGAAGAAGAAGAATATTTATATTAGGCACCTTATATCAAATTCATAGTAAACTATTCTATTTGAGATAAATGAAGAAATAAACATATGTATTAATGTACCTAGAATAAGCGTACTGTCGGTACCGTCCTGTCATTCAAAAATAAATATTGAAATAAATTGATGTGAAGACTGAAGACACTGAAGATGAAATTAATCACTCTTTTCTCTAAAAAAAATGATAATAGGCCTTTATAAAAGGAACTTCGTTCAAGTTATTTGAAGGAAATAGTTGAAAAAAATATGTTTAGGCTTCAAATGAAAAGACATCTAATAAAACAATTAGATTCTCGATATTCAAATCTCTACGTCTCTAAAGAATATTATTAAAAATGCGAATACTTTATTCTACTAATGATATTCGGAAGTTAATTACGGCGTTTTTGGCGCGTTTCCGCTGTCAACAAATAATAAAGGACAATCCCTTTTGCCTGATTACAAAATCTCTTGTTTACTTGTAATATGTCGAACGAAAATTTTGATCCCAGTTCACTTCCAGATTTGTTGCCGTTATACTATAAAAAACTATTTCCATATGGTCCTTATTATAGGTGGCTAAACTATGGTGGTGGTAAGTATACCCACTACCCTAAATGAAAAATTAACATTTAATTTTAGGCAGTATCCAACACGTCCGGCGATCGCACAAATAGTGCGTGAGATATTCATTCCGCGGCCATGTCACGCTTTATGTCACCTTTTAACCATTTGTTCATTATATATACCAGCAATAGTTATAGTATTTCTTTCGGTAAATGCATAGAGATGTCGCCATCTTGGTTGACACAATCAGTTAATTCTGTCACTAAACCTAACTAAATGTATCCCTAAACTATCAAACCCAACCTGAACCCTAATTCACTACTTTAATTTAATAACGAAGTGTCTACACGTCCGGCGACCGGACGAATAATTCTCGAGATATTCGTCCGGTGACCAGGTCACGTGACCGCTAATAGTCGATAGTAAAACTGGCGTCGGAGATGGATGGGTGGGGGGCGATGAGAAGGAAGAAGTACTGAGAGCGTAAGAGAAAGGATAAAAATGATAGTGAGGGTGATCAAAAATTAAGGCGGGGAGGTCGAAAGTTCATAGAAAAATAGACCCTACATCTTAATATATGGCCAATATAGTGTGCTGTTGGATTAGCCTACTTCTCACGCAATATTAATTTAAAATTAAATAAAACGTATTTTACAGTAGATCTATTGACAGTCAACTGGCATGTAGCCTGTTGGTATTATACTCTCTCAGGTATGCAGATTGAGTTTGCTCATACAGTGCGAGACCTGGGTGTCTCTTTAGACAGAACACTTACTATGGAAAATCATATTAACATGCTTTGCAAGGCAATTTTCCTAGAGCTGCGCAGAATTAGTCATATCAGACCTTTCTTAACGTTAGATGCATCAAAGAGGCTGATGTCTGCATTTGTGTTATCATGCATGGACTACTGCAATGCTCTCATGGTGGGTCTTCCAGCTATGCTCCTGGATAAAATTCAAAGAGCACAGAATAATGCGGCTCGCATTGTTCTTCGCAAACGCAAATTCGACCATGCTAAAACACTTCTGAGAGAGCTGCACTGGCTGCCGGTCAGCGCTCGCATAGAGTACAAAATTGGAACTTTGTGCTACCGCTGCTTACATGACCTGGCGCCATCTTATCTCAAAGCACTCATGATGCCTTATGTACCCACTTGAGAGCTCCGCTCATTCGATAGTGGCAAAATATCGATACCGTGTGTTCCCCTTGAGACTTACGGAAAGCGCACTTTTGCATTTGCCGTCCCAACGATTTGGAACGCCCTTCAAGTCGCTCTCAGAAACAGCCAGACACTTGAGTCCTTTAAAACCGATTTAAAAACACATCTTTTTCGCAAACACCTGTTGGGGTGATGCTATCTACCATCTTTTTCAGTTAATGTATATTGGCCTGTGTTGCTTATGGTTGAAACGGGATGAAAGACTTGACTTGGTATGCTCGTATGTAGTTTTATATTGTTGCGTCTGTTTTTTAAATGTGGTAAATTTTAGATTGTTTTTATTTCTCTTTATAATATGGTTGACTTTGTACCGCGCTTCGAGCTTTTGGGGATGAAGCGTGTTTTTCAAATAAACTTTATTATTATTATTATTTTGTTTGGTTCATATTTAAAATTTAGGCTATTAGGTTTAAGATATTTAAACCAAGATAAAAGACTTTGTTTTTTTTTAAATTTTGCCGGCGACGTCTTGTATATGACATGTCTGCATTTAATAAACACGCAAGTGACATGGCAACATCTCTATGCATTAGCCTATTCACTGCAACTATAATAAACACGCAAATGACGTCATGGGTATGATTCTCAACAATAGCCCATTAGCCTTTCTTTTGTCTAATATATATTAGCCGGATGAATATCTCGAGAAGTTTATCGTCTGGTTGCTGGACTTGTAGACACTTCGTTAATTTTAAATTTCTTAATATTATGCACTTAACTGTACTATGACTATGAATAATATGATCATCATGAATCATATTCAATTCATAATGACTTGATGAACTTTTACTATTTATAGTTATAGTTATAGACTTAACTTAAGACAAGACTCATAATAGTGAATCCACCACTGCAAGTATGACTTTGAATATTATTTTATCACTGGGAGTATGACTTTGAATATTATTTTGTTATCATATGTTCTGCACTCTAATGTTTCCTTGATATGATACTAAGATATTAGTTTGAGTATGATAATTAGAGGGTGTGGCATTTGAGTCACAGAGTGCTGTCATCATAATAGGGTCATAAGGCTAGGGACATAGCTGTTTGACTGTTTCAGTGCCCATACTATTGATTGTATAGATGGCGATTGAAGTACACCCAGGCTGGGGCCCCTTGTGGACTGTGGGCCAAAACTAAAGGGATTGAACATATATAATCTTATATTGAAAGTAATAAAGAAGATGAAATAAAACGTGGAACTAAATTCTTTATTAGCTATTCAGCACAGCCTGCACATATCCTAATTTAACTCATTGCCACAACTCACTCGATGCAGTAGGCCTATCTAAATTAAATGCTTTTTTGTGACATAAGGGCATTATCAACTTTAAATAAAAACAATTTACTAATTGAATGAAGAATTTTAAACAAATTATCTTAATAGCTTTAAATATAGATATTATATTATTGAGAGACATTACTATATAGTTATAATTCAAAATTTTCAAAATTCATAGCATTTTATAGATTAACTCCCAATCCTAAATACACAAAAATTAATCCTTGTATTTGTATTATGAATTTCTGGGAGCCTTCGGAGCCCTTGAACCCCCCTTTAGTGCATAGGACAAAGACAGCACTATTCGTTATTTCCAGGTTTCACTGTACCAAAAAGAACTAAATGTATTTAGGGGTGGGGGCGGGGTGTTGTTTGTGTGTTGAATTCAAAGTCTGCCTCAATAGGCACAATGTCTCCCTACGCCATTGCTAATAGACTTACTCTTAACAGTAATAACAGGCCTGTAAACTATTAACTAGTTTAAATATTTGACATTTAGGCTACAAAAACAAGTTATTTATTTCTTACAGGTACTAATCTCGGCATTTGAAAAATGGAAATATGTGGTCACTGACTGCTATGAAAATCTATTCCAGAGCTTGTGAAATAACAACCACTAGGCCCTAGTCTAGTTTAGGCCTATACATTAATTGATCCATTATTAGGCCTATTTTTTTAAAAATCCAATAAGTTAATAAGATAATTATCCATATAATAGTATATAATAATATAGGCATATGAAATGATTAAATGCCGTTATCATTAGTTAGTCATTGACATTAGGCATATATTTAGGCCTACTAAAGCCTACTAGTGCCTATAAAGGACTATCCCCAGTTGTCATTGTGATTGTCACGCACACTGTGCAAAGTACATTTGCTGCACATATCCTTTTTAAAGTTTGTGTGCACAAAGCAAGTGACTACTATTACTATTATGACCCTAATGAAAGTATCTTAAGTGAGGGTGACGGCTGTATTATTACGTTGATTGTGGTAGAAATATATAACTTAATATAGTTTGTAAAGTTGTTTTACTCTTATTGCATTTTCTTACTAGCGCACTAAATCTAATGAAGTAAAGAATTTAACAAACCTTTGAAATGTCCTTGTAACTTTATGCTAATACCGTCCTATAGTCCCTGACTAAATATTTATTTTGCAGTGAAAATCATTTCATTTACTTAATCATAATTTCTTTATTTAAATTAATTGACTTTTCTTACTGCTTTAATCCTAAATTAAATATTTTAGGAGACCATTTAGTGTGGACAAAATATTTTACAATTCAAGTCTACTAATAAAATGTTCAAAAAAATCCTGCCATTTGGCTGGCATTGCCTCAAAAATTGTTAACTTGGTCTTTTCAGTTCCAAAAAACTACTTCAATCAGAGAGAGTTTTCTTTTACTTTGCAAGATGATGTGTACTTACGCTACCAATCCTTTTCTGATCAACAAGACTTTGAGAAAGAGCTTCAGAAAAAGTGTCCTCATAAAATTGATATTGGTGCTGTTTATTCTCATAGGGTATTTTCATTTATGGAATGTTTATTGTCTTTGTGTTTACTAAGTGAGTTTACTGTATGGTTTGCACCAGGTCAGCAAAATCAGTAAATGTTGCCTCCTATCACTTTGAAAATGGACTTAAAAACATCAGTTAGAGTGGAGAGTCACACAAAAAATAAAGTATGCAATGTTCATTTTTGGACATAATTGTAATTTTAACCCATGTGAATATTTTTAATACGATATTTTATAATTCGGGGGCCCATAATGGTAATAGTTATTTCATAACATAATTATTTAAATACGGTAACTCTAATTTTATTTGTAAAATAACAGCCAAAAGACCACAAGACAATCAAGTCTACAGCTTTCCAAGCTCAAGAAAAGGAACTTGTGTTTGATATCGATATGACTGATTATGATGATGTTCGATCGTGTTGTTCGTAAGTGGTCATCTAGAAATTACATTTCTATTTTCCAAACTTTATGCATGTTTCTTTATTTGAATATTTGTTGTTTTTTTTTACTTTTTATATTTATACTTATATTTATAGATTTTCATACAAGGGTATGTAACTGTAGCAAAGAATATTTGTTTTTTTAATTTTTATATTTGTACTTTTATTTATAGAATGTAATTAAAATTCATACGTTAAATATTATTATTAAAGAGGCTTGTGGACTGTATACCCGGTATCCATTTGCACAAAGAATCTTATTTTTTGCATTATTTGGTATAGCATCCAAAATACCAGTGCCCAAGAGGAAATGATATCAAACTCCAATAGCATTTATATTGACACACTTCAAACTTTCATTGTAACCTTCAATAATTTAATTGAAGACGTGTACCTTATCAAACATCACTTATTTTATAAACACATATTAATTATAGTACTGGTGTTAAATATTTTTATTGTCTTTCTAATTGTAGCACCAGTATTTTTAGTTAATTGTAGGGTGTTGAATTTTTTTTGAATTTCATTGTTTATATCAAGATTTCACATTTCTCAACAGAGGAGCAGATATGTGTTCAAAATGTTGGCCTCTTATGGTTATAGCTGTGAAAATTCTGGATAGAGCTCTTAGGGGTTGGTAATTATTTGTTGAAATATATAATTATTTCTTAGATTTCCTAAATTTATAAATAATGGAAGTACTTGTTAAAAGATGAAAAGTTCTACATACTATAAACATTAGAGGCTGAAAGTTCATGAATCTATTGAAAACTTAAGTTTAAGGAAAGGGTTTGTTCTTTTGTTAATGGAATGCTCAAGTCTGGTATTGTCATAGTTTTACTGTAATAGGGAGATAACTCGACATCAACAGTAGTTGGTCAGTTGTTATCACTTGTTAAAAGAACAAGAGAGCCCAATTCAATCTGTTCTGTTTTGGGTACACAGGGATGATTTGGGGAGAGGGGGAGGGGGCTGTTACTGTCAGTCAAAAGAACAAGAGATCCCAGTTCTAACATTGTTAACGTCAGTTCTTATCACTGGTTGAAAGGACAAATGAGCCCAATTCTACCTGCTCACTTTTTTAAATAGATGAATAACAGAAAAATATTCCTGCCAATCTTTTATAAAAAAGAAAAACTAACTAAAAATAAAATGATTTTTATTAAAGATGATTTTGGTTTCCAACACTTGCTTTGGGTATACTCTGGTCGCCGTGGCATCCACTGCTGGGTTTGTGATGAATCTGCTCGCAAATTAACAGCTCTAGGGAGGTCAGCAATAGCTGAATACTTGACATTAGTGAAGGTTGGTTATCTTAGGTTTAACAATAATTAAGTCCTCCCCCCCTCCCCCCCCCCGCGCAAGATCTTATTTAATATTTACACTGAAATCCATTTATATCCTTATCACTGTTTATATTATTTTTAGATATCTTCTTCTATATCTTAAGGTATACTTGACATTAGTGAATGTTGGTTATCTTAAGTTTAACAATAATTAATTCCCTCCCCCCTCCCCCCCCCCCGCGCAAGATCTTATTTAATATTTACACTGAAATCCATTTATATCCTTATCACTGTTTATATTATTTTTAGATATCTTCTTCTATATCTTAAGGGCCCACGATCAATTTATTGATCATTTTGGCTCCTATGCATGTAGATGGGATTTGCAATGTTTCTGTTACTGGTGGTGATGAGGAAATCATGTATCTCTATAACTTATAATATACGCATTATATTTACAAGGTGTTAAAATAAAAATATTTCGGAAGATTACTTTTTAACAAAAAACAAAATTTCATATATTGTAACACTTTTTGTTATGAACTGTAAGAAGTGCTTGCAATACATTAAATGGGTGTTTAAATTATTATTGTTTAAGAAGTGTCATGATTTTTCCTAACATATAAATACACTTTTATTACTATTAGCTTTGTTTTCACTATTTGCTTAATCCTTTGTAAAGTTCAAGTCTAGGTTATAAATGCCTCCTTTTTTTCAGGGTGGAGAAAATACAACAAGAAAAGTGACATTACCTGACAAGCTCCATCCATCTATCAGGTGATTATACTAAACTTTCTAATCTTGTTTTTCTTTTCTTTCAGTATATAGTTCTATTCCAACTTTTTATTTGTTCCATAGGCTTATGTCTAAAACATTAATTGACAATGGGCATTTACAGAAAACCCCAATTGTTGAGATAAGACATCAAATCGATTATAAAATGAATTTAAACAACAACAAAAAATTATTGAACTGTTTTTAAAAAGAATAATTTTTAACTTATCAGTATATTGTACCGGTACAGTATAGATATGTTCAATGCTTTTTGCAAGATATGCTTTTAATCTTAATGTAAGAAATTTAATTTGGTATTTCCAAAATTGATCATATTTCTTTAATCTTTTATTTTTACATGTGTGGCCACAAAGGCATTATATTGCCACTTCGTCTTGAAATTTATTATATACTGAAAGTGGTACCGTATTTAAAAAGTAATTGGTTTTAAAATGTACAAGATTACATTTTTTGTACACAATTGTATTTCAAATGCCATTTATTGCAAATATCTTGTTTTTAAATAGTTTATATATAATGAAAACAGTCCTAAAAGTTATGATACTTTAAATTCCATTTATTAGGTCCAAATTACCATTTTGTCATAGATTTCTATAATTTTTTTAATGCTTTTCTGTAATGATGATCTTACAGACAGGCACTGGAAATCATTAACAACACTTTCTTTGACTATTTGGTAAAGAAACAGGACATGCTGGATTGTGAAGAAAAATGGAGGAAAGTCTTGTCCATTATCCCCTCGGAAAATATCCTTTTTATAGAAAATACAGAATATTGTGGTAAAGAACTAGCAATAAAAGAATTAAGAAATTTACACAGGGATTTGATGTTTCAAATTTATTTGCAAATTTTTGCATGGCACCCTAGCGAATCATTAATCATAACAATTCTAACATTGAAATGAGTGATAGGTGAAACATCTTTTCTTACCTCACCTAATCAAAATTAGGCGGAAGATTTATGAATACTTAATATGTTGTTATTCTTGGAGAATGAAGGATTTTGTTTAACATCAAGCACATGTCATAAAGCCTTGATCTTGAGATAAAAATTAAATTACGGGATGCCATTGATCTTGAAGATTTTCAATATACTATTTCATACTGAGATCAATGAATTACAAGTTAACTTGTCAGGAATAAGACTAATTTTTTATTTATTTGAAATATTTTTATACATTTTGTTTATCCATCATCCACAATGAAAAACTACATACATTGTTAGAATGTTGAGTAAGAGTTCAAGTTTGAAAAAAAAAACTCTTTAACCAAGTTTTACATGTCAGGAAATATTTGTCAGATGATTTCACTGGAAAATTTGGGAAAGACACTGCCAGCCGTTGGGGGATTTTAAAGAAAAGATTGACAGAGGCCAGGCAGGTGAGTCAAGAAATTCTAGTGCACACCACAGGGCCTGATATACCATATTATACCTAAGATAAAATTAATATAAGTACAACTTCCTTGAGTTACTTAAGAGTAATAAGAGACAATCTTAAATTATATTGTATTATGCTTTTCCCCAGTAAAACGTGTTTGAGATTGACTGCTAAAATGCATTGCATTTACAGTTTTTTTAAAATGAATGGGTGATCTATGTAATTAAATTCATAAATGTCATTCACTTTTGAGGCTAGAACTAACTTAAAGGCTAAAAGAAACACATCCATACACCAACATTAGGTTTAAAAAAAAAAGAAAAAAAGTATGTCACTAAATTTTTACTTTCATGTTTTGAAATAACCACTCTAATAATAACAAACTATAGTAGAATATTTTTTATTGGTTAAAAGGTTTATGTTCAATACTTATTCAGGGTGGGCCAATAAAAGTGAGAACATTTCGTAGCGTAATATTTTACGAGATGTTCTCACTTTTATTGGCCCACCCTGTAAGTATAAGGAAATAAATAATAATATGTTCCCATAAAAATTAAATCGAAATGTGAATAAAATTAAAATGTCCATCAAAAATTTGGTGGTTCTTCCACACTTGCTCCTTGTTTAACTAAACTTGAGATAATAGTTGCTGCTGTCAAACTTAACATTTATCTTTTTGTTGGAGCTTTTGGCATTTTTCTCCTTCATCTTTATCAGGTATTTGTGCAAATTATCTTAAAGTGGTGATAGTCAATTTATTTGTGGGCCTTTTCTTCCCAACACTTTCATTTTTTTTTACTCAGCAAAAATCATCCAAAGGATTCCTCAGCTGTGTTTGGCAGAACTGCTCATGGGCGGCAGTAACCCATTTCTGCCTTACTCTGCACTGGCAGAACTGCTCATGGGCGGCAGTAACCCATTTCTGCCTTACTCTGCACTGGCAGAACTGCTCATGGGCGGCAGTAACCGACTTCTGCCTTACTCTACACTTAAATGTAACATTTCTTCATCTTACATTATATCTTCATGTTAGATTTTTTTCCCCACAGTTGGACATGGTGAAGCCATATGTAGAGGAAGAAATCAAACTTCAACTTTGCTACCCCAGGCTTGATGTTAATGTCAGTAAAGGCATCAACCACTTGCTGAAAAGTCCTTTTTGTATTCACCCCAAAACAGGTAAACATGGTTGCAGAGTAATTTCTGATTTTATCAAAGTAAATAATTAATTTAAAACAAGGCTTTAGTTGTGTTGATTATAATTTACTTTCTTTTTGCTTGCAGTCGGGAAATGTTTGTGTAATCCAATGCAATTACAAAATAATTCATAAATCCTAAATTACCAACCACTTTAAATGTCACTTTTATATCTCTCTGGATTGACTAACATCATTTTGTTCTCTTCTTTCAATAAGACTGACTAAAAGACATCTTCACTTATTATTTAAAATCTCATCAGGCCGTGTGTGTGTTCCAATGGACTCAAAGGCTATTGATGATTTTGACCCAGCTAAAGTGCCCACAATCAGGTATCTTCAATGCATATTTAGAACCCTGAATATAATAATGTTACAAAGTGATATTTAAAGTTAACATAAAATCAAACATTTTTGTTTACAGAAAATTGTAAATTAAAACTATTTATATCTATTATAATCTTCTTATTTGTTACATTTAAAAAATCCGCCTCACTACATTTCTTAGTCTTAATTTGATAAAAAATAATCTAAGCTAATCATTATCCTTTTCAGTGGCCTGTTAGATGAGTTAGACAAAGTTGAGTTGGCAGAGGATGATCAAGGGAAGAAGTTCAGAGGTAATTTCATTTCTTAATTTATTCAAATTTAGCACCTTTACTTCATCATGAAATCTACTATAAAAGAATTTTTTGTCTAGCTGTCATAGTATCTGAATATATAAATTCTTATAAAAATTTGTTATTTCATTATTCTTAAAACCTTCAGCTTATAAAATTTGACTTAATGTTGTTTGTCAAAATAGATTACAAGAAGACTGGTCTTGGGCCTTACTTAGACACATTTGAGACATTCCTCAAAGGTCTGGAAACTTCCAGGAAAGGAAAAATGATTGAACAGAGTGGTCAGTTCTCATTTAATTATCTATGAGCTGAGTGGTCAGTTCTAATTTATGTGTTTACAAAATGCTAAAATTTGTGTCCAATAGTTAGGCACATTAATTATTGCTCAGAAGTGCTCTGGTCGATCAATTATTTTGGGTAAAAATGAGTAATGTACATGTTTGGTATGACAAAAACAGTTCTATGTCATATATTTAAGACTTTTTTAGGTGCTTAGACTATTAAAACCTACTACCAGTACCAGAACATAAAAAAATGGAGAGGTAAATTGACATGAGTATTAATAAGTATTTAAAAATCATTCTTATTTCATGACATTTAAAGTTAGATTTATTTTTTTAGAGTTTAGAATATTTTCCTAAAACTGCCCATTTAGATACTACCTGAGGGACAATAAGAAATATACATCTGAAATTGTGATGTTTCTCATCTTTCTTTATTCTGCAGATATGAAAATGGAATTTTAGATTGATGGAAACAGCTCTTACTTATATATGTTAAATATGATTGTGAGGACAAGGGAGACTTGCAGTATTTCCATCTCAATTGCTGGTGTATGAAAACTGCACTCAGAAAAGTCCAGCTGTGCAGATGCTGTTATATTTTTATGCATGTTGGACATTTTTTTGAAAGGCACATTATTATTATTTATATATAATGAAACATGTGCAATGTAATGTTGTTTTAGAGGAATTACACTTTCTTCGATTATATCATATATTGGCACAAATACTCCATGTGTTTAAAAAGGGAATTCACATTAGTCACTTGAATAGCGTCCACAATAGAAAATGATTTATGCCACTTCATATGATGATGTTTAACTTTTGAATGTCAACCTTACATTAATACAAAAAATTTTATTGTGGTAATCACTATGGTGAGTTCTATTTCCATTTCGGTTTTATGAAATTAAATTGAGCAGAAATTTTATTCTATATGTATTATTTTTTACAGAAGAATGAGAGTACATTTATTTTTTGAAGTTTCATAACTAATTCTCAAGTGGTTCTCTCTTATTGTGAGTTATTATGGAATTATAATTATGCTTTAAAAAATAATGTGTTCCTAACTTGTGAATCTGTTTTTTGTATATATAACATATTACACTATGGACAAATTTATAAGAGAAATTAGACCAATTTCCAAATAAAGTAACATTAAAATTAAAAATGCTGCTGTTTAATAAATTTTTTCAATGGATTTTATTTAACAAATTTTTTTTTTTTGAAATTTCTTAGTTTATTTAATAGTCATTTATGACAGGAAAGTCATAAGCAATCATTGACTGAATACTTGTGAATCAAATCTGTAAGCTCTGCTGTATATATCCCTTTACAGTCCGATGCGCCGATTTTTTCCTTAAGCCTACAGTCCGTTGCGGCCGCTTCGAGGTTGTTTACTTTCGTTCCCAGCACAGCAGAAATCCATTGCGCATTACTATTTATAGTTCTACCGGAAGTAAGCCTTGTTGTCAGCATTTATTTTGATACTAGTTTAACCGCGGTGTGTTTAGGGGCTGATTTTCTATGGTTATTTTAAAAGTTGTGACATTTTCGCAGTAAAAAATGGCTTTCGAAGCCTTGGATACAATTTTGAAAGAACTTAGGCCTAATGAAGCTTCACTATTTCATAAATCTAGCAGCGATAGTGAAGAATCTGATATAGACAATTTAAATGATGCTACTTGTAATAGTGATTCAAGTGAAGAAGATAATAGTAATAGTGGCAACATCGATGACAATGGACCTATCAATTCCACTCCAACTGATCAGCAACATCATGAGTGGTCTGGGAATGTTTCTCAAATTAAAGTGGAAAGGTCCTTGAAACTATTTTTTGGTGCAACTTTTGCTTTAATCATTTCTTTGTATTTAGGTATCTTTTTCTTGCTTATAGTTTATTTTTTGTAAATTAATTAAAGAACCTTCATTTAAAATGGAGTTATGTACCTCTGCTTCGTCGCTGGGAGTAGACAAGGCTGAATAGGCTTGGACTGTAAAGGGATATTTAAGTTAGGAAATTATTGGTAGTTTTGTTTTAGAAGCCGCTTTATAAAGGCTGAATATGGATTTAAATTTGAATCATGTGGATACAAGTATACAAAAACCTGATTTAAAAAAATATTCACACAGCTAATACTGAGCTCATCTTATTTTTCAAGTACTTTTTTAATAATAAAGATATTTTGATAATAAGAAATACATTTGTTCTAAAGGCTGCATTTAATTTTTTTAAATATTCATTATATATACAAAAATGATTAAAAACCAAGGTTACCGAAAAAGAGAAAAATGGAATCTCATCTAAATGTTACAAAGCAAATAAATTAATCAGTTATCTCTTTATATAACATGATATTTTAGTTTTTGCCGATAACTACAATTCTTTATTTCAAATGTTCTAAACATGAAACAGTATTGAGTAAAAAGTTTAAAGGGCGTATGTATGTAAAAGCTATACATTTCATCACAAAATTGTATTGTTTTGCATAAATATACATCAATGGAATTTTCAACAAATGGTACCAAAAAGCAGACCCTTTCCTTTAAAAAATCTTTTGCATTCACAAAAACAATAAAATTTCCATCACAAACAGTATCAGATCTGTACAAAAACAACAAAAAATTGTATATAAACCGAGTGCTTTTCTTCCCCCCCACCTCCCACTTTTCCTCCAATTGATATGCAGACTACATTTTTTAAATAACCAAGTAAATTCCTGTGATATATAATTGATTACTAAGACAATTTTAGTTTTAAGAATTCATGTCTTAAATGTTTTAAAAATACACTGAGGAATTCTAGGAACTTACATTATGGTGGAAAAATGTACATGTTTGTAATTTAATTGATGCTGATAATTTAATATTAACTGAGTTTCAGTTACTGGGAAAAATTTTATAGATGGCTTTGAGATTTAAAATCAACTGAATATGAGATCAGAATAAAGTGCAAATTAATTTTTAATTCTGGACAATGTTGTAGTTGACTTCACCCTGTGGCTTGAAGCGAAGAGGCATTCCATGGACCAGCATATTGTTGAAAGGGTTATTAACCTGAGATAATAAAAAAAAGTTTTTTTAAAAATCTAAATTATTTGACCTAAATTATTTATCACACCACTGTGTCAAATGAAAGTAATGGTTGTGTTTTATAGACATTAGATTGCCCCAAAAACAAAATATTTGCCCAAGTTTAGTCAGACGTGCCCAACCTATTTTTTGATCCAGGAATTCTTGATTATACTTTTCATTTGTATCGACACAAACCCAAACCCACCTTTTTTTTAAATATAAAGGAACAGGTATTAAAAAAAACTTGTTTGCTTTTTACATCATCATAAATGGAATCTTTCGTCCACACAATCAGTCTGCGGAGTGCACCAGAGGTAGTGTACAATTGGAAAGCACTGGCCTAGGGCATTCCATATAGAATTCCACATAAAAAAGTAATACTTTCATACCCTATTCTTATGCTCCACTTTTAAATTTTGGACTCCCAAATAGCATAAGTCAAAATGAGGCACCCCCCCCCCCCCCCCCCTCCCCCAATCATATTTATTGATAAGAGTTACAAGGCAATCAAATGAAGTCACTATAAACCATGATAAAGAATTATTAATTTCTCTCAAAATTACAGAACCATAGGGTGGATAACATCACCAGACTAAATAGTAATACTGTTGCAATATGTTGAGAGTTTATGTTTTGAACACACAAAGCCAAGAGTCTGACAATAATTAAAGAATCATTTCGGTTATGGTTAGAAATCATGGATTGCATAGACTTAAGGTGACAGCTGGCAATACTGCTATTAGAGATGTAAATTGGCTATCTTTGGACTGCCAGATTTTCAGGGGTATAACTGCAGAATTTGTACATACAGATTTTGCCTTGATTTTGACCCACCCTCCCAATCTGTACACAAAATCTAAATCATCAACCCCCTCATAATTTATTTACAACGTATGCCCTTAATATGATTACCTAAGTCAATTTTTAACACCCCCTCCCCATTCAAAAAATCTCTTGTCAACATTTAAAAAACCCATTTCACAGCAACCATTTATGTATGCCGACCCCTGCTACAACAAGGTAGACTCCTCAGATAATGGTACCTCATTCTGCAAATCCACAGTGGCAGCAGGGCATAGGTCCAAGGGGTAAAATTTCTCAAGCATCTGGAAGGCAAGGTCTACAATTTTCTGTGAGCAGCTTCCATGGTTTAACTTGATGCAAGACTCCTCCAACCTGACCACACTGAAAGTATTCAACAATTTGATGAAAAAGCAGATACTAAGTCTAACATAAATAATATAAGTAAGTGGGACTTTGACAGGCTCATTACTGAACAAACAGACTGTTTCAAAACTTAAAACACCTTGTCCATGAGAAGTTTAACCAAGTCAACAAAAATGTGGATGGCGTATATTAAGACACTTTGGTTAATATTAAACAACAACAAAATTAATATGGACAATTCTTGCATAAGCCATGTGAATGCTTACAAAAAGTAAAATGTTTAGCAGGGATTAATTTGACAAAGAGCCAAAGCAACAGATTGGGAAATCTCTGTACTGATTAATGACAAAGATTAAAACTGAGGACCCATTTTCTATACATAGCTAGATTTGGTTAACTGCAATCCCTTGAAATGGAATTTATGTTAAAAGAATTAACTTATCTGCCAAATTCCTTAAATCACTTATACAATTAGTAAAGCCAAAATTACCGAACGTTGACCACAAGTTGAATTTTCCAAATATATACACACACATCCATTTAAAGTTAATTTTTAAAAAGTTGGTAATGATTTAAAGACACTTTCCCACACCTTCCTTCAAACCTTATTTCTCTTTTATACTAGTCTCCCCTCCCTCTTTCCCTCTAGTCTCCCGTCCCTCTCTTTCCTTCTAGTCTCCCCTCCCTCTTTCCCTCTAGTCTCACCCTCTTTCCTTCTAATCCCCCCTCCCTCTTTCCCTCTAGTAGACCCTCTCTTTCCCTCTAAGTCTCCCCTCCCTCTTTC